CTGTATTCTGACTATTGGCAGACTATACTTGACTTCATTTTTGCTGGTTCTATCACCGCAGTTGGCATGCAAAAGCTTCGATTTTTCTTTTTGGCCATTTCTGTCTTGACTCTGTCCGCCAGCATCGCGCGCGAAGGCTTCAACCGTGGTAATATTCGGCGCGCAATCATTTGTGCTAGTCTACTGGTCTGGACGCAGTATAGTCAGCGGGTTCAGGGTCATCATAGTTGTCACTGACTTCTACTGTCTTCCTGTTTAGAGACAGCTATCTTGCCGGGATGTCTGAATGAATGTTCTAGTATGGGAAGGGGATGATCTCATCTATCAGTAAGTCAAGGAGGTGATTCTAGCTTAGGTATCTTATGGTAGTCCGGAGATCGATACCTGGTACTATGGATACTAGTTTATTATAGGTTATTGCAACTGGTTTGGACGTAATTCTTTCCTTTACTACTTTCTAGGAATCTGAGTTCTGAGGCTGAAATAGGTCCTTGTCACCGGCAAGAGTTATAGGACTGCAGCAAAGTAGGTCGAAAACAGCGGGAGTGAACGGCATTTCTTGCGATGGCCTTTTCATGCTGCCAGGTCAAAGGACCGTAAATCTGTTGAAGGTGCCGTGCTAGAATTTGAGATTCAGCGCGCAAATGGCGCATCGCACTCAGCAGTGGTCATTTGGACGCAAAGTCTGGCTGTGCCAAGTAATCAATTCTTGCGGCATTATCGCGTTTCCTGAATCTTCTTGTGACATACATAACTTGTAATTTTGAAATCAGCCTGGACAACGGATATATAAAAGCNTGCGCGGAAATGAGAATGATACCAGTAAAACCCGTATTCGTCTTCCACGGAAAATCGGTATGTAAAATTCCCTCCCGGGGGTATTTGGTACTAGAGCCAAGTTAGCAACCACTTCTTTTAGCGCTTGAAGGGCGGCACAGGCACCTGGGTTACTCCTGGGACCCCATCCATGTCCGGTGTTCCACGCTGTAGTATCCCTGAATTCATGTGCTTAGTTGAGCCGCAACGTATACTTTGACGATAACATACCATGCCAATGGATAGTAGTGCTAACTGGCAACTCATTACGAACGAACACCTCCACATCATCCCCTTCGTCAACTTCAATCATTGGACCGGGCTGCTGTCCATTGATCAGGTAGACTTCACGGGAGTACCCATCTATCAGCAACTAGGGTTAGCTGTCTTGTGACGAAGGCAAGGAATCAATCCGCAAACCTGGGCTGCGCTGGGCGGTATGAACGGTGAAGTTGAACGTTCGTAGGGAACCGAGAGCGCCTTGCACTGCAAAAAGAGCGCATATTGCACGAAGCTGGAACGCAAAGCCTGGCATTTGATGGAAGAAGGTAATCATGAAGAGTTCGATGTTTCTGAGGGTGATCAAATGTCCTTGCAGTAGTAGGAAGCAAAGGGAGACGATTATACTCCTGGAAGGCTCAAGGAAATTCCATGCGGTGTTTTCGCGGATTTTAGCGCTCCTCGGCAAAGTTTGAAATATGGAGACCAGCCATCCAATTGATAGTGGTGGTCCCTCGAGCTCTTTTATCGATCACTCAAAAGGCCATGAAGGTACGGAGTAGTACGGGAGTTTTTGCGAAGACATGAGATTCTATCACGCGGTTTCAAGTTCCTTCGCAGGATATATATTCGAGACGGTATGAAAGGCTTCCATGTGTTTTGAAGTCTCTCGGCCGGTATAACAGTAGCTGTCCATTCGGCTGGCGACAAAAATCCGACGATTTGTTATCATTAGTGACGAAAGTGTGGAAATATGACTTTCACTGTTTGACTTCGTGCTGCAGCAAAGCAGCAATATGACCTTTTCTCCTTCCAAAGAAAGTAGGGAAATGAAAGGGCGCTGAGAAGAAAAGGCAAGTAAACCTGGCCAGGATTGCCTACCTATGAGCCTGCCTCTTTTTTAGCCCACGTCCACTTCCTTCCCAAGCCTTCATAGACTCTTATCAAAAGCCTTGAGTAAGTCATCCTTGTTGTGAAGCGAGGACCTTGGTGGACGATAGATATTTAATAGAGGATGAAAGACAGCCATTGCAAAGTTTGCTATCACCAACTCTTTCTAGTGCACTGTTGCAAACAAATCCGATTTTAGTGCGCGTATCACTTTGCAGGATTTTCTTTCAAGTCTTTCGATCCCGTTTTTGCCCGTGTTAGAACTCAATCCTCAATACATTGCTTATCAGGATGGACACGGAACTGTTACGCTATCTTCAACGAGATACTGGCGACAATACTGATACCTGTGAAACTGGAAACGAGTATGACGGTCGGCTGGGCCTCCGTGTTTCATCCATTTTCGTCATCATGGCTAGCTCGATGACAGCGGCAGTTTTCCCTATGCTAGTGAAACGTTCAAGCACAGTCAGCGCTAAGTGTGAGCGAATCGCACACTGGGCTTTTTTTATAGCCAAATTTTTGGCTCTGGTGTCATCATTGCAACTGCATTTATTCATTTGCTTGCTCCAGCGGAAGAGGCCCTAAGGGATGACTGCTTGGCTGGTCCGATCTCGGAGTATCCTTGGGTGGAGGGCATCATTCTCATGACCATCGTTGCTATGTTCTTGGTGGAACTCATGATTATGCGCCATTCATATTTCGGCATGAGTCAACAGAGCGATATCGTCGATAACGGAGGTCGGTGCCTTGGCGGGTTTGATAATTTTGGTGGTTGGAATCAGGCTAAGCGTCACCTGCCGATGGACGATAATTTGAGCCGGCCTCAGGAACGCGAAGACGCAGAGGTGGCTCGAGGCAACTTCGCGTTCGTGGATGACTCTGCAGCCTAGCTTATCGGGGTTTCCATTTTGGAATTTGGAATCATCTTCTATTCCATATTCATAGGCCTGACACTCGCAGTTGCGGGTTCTGAATTCACCGCGCTCTATATCGTTCTCACCTTCCACCAGACATTTGAGGGACTAGGTCTGGGATCTCGCCTCGCCGTGATTCCATGGCCGACTTCCAGGCGCTGGACGCCTTATGTTCTGGGTATTGTCTATGGTCTAACTACCCCCATTGCCATCGCAGTTGGCTTGGCAGTGCGCAATACCTACCCACCTAGTGGTCGGACGACACTGATAGTCAATGGTGTTTTTGATGCTATCTCGGCAGGCATTCTTATTTATACTGGCCTTATCGAATTAATTGCGCGCGAGTTCCTGTTCAACTCGTTTATGCGTCGGGCTCCTCTTCGCACTGTTTGGTCGGCATCTTCTGATCTGCCTTGGCGCAGGACTCATGGCACTGCTCGGCAGATGGGCTTAACTATGTATATTTTAGATTACTGCGGGCTGAGTGCTTTGGCGTTAAGCCAATGAGAGGAAACAAGAGAGGCAAGAATTGAGAGTTGAAAACCGACGAATGTAGCTGACCTTCAAGTTTTTTTTTTCTTTTTTTTTTGTTTCCCAACTTATGCAGTCTTTTCCATTCGTTCAGTTCCTCAAGACTGCGGAGCGTGTGCTTTTCAAGCCCATCCCCAATGCGATGTTTTCGCGGGTTTTAGCGATTTGGCAAATGCTTGGCCAGTCAGTCTTCGCCGCCGAGACATCAATAGTGCAGCCAAGGAACTCAAAAGAACGCGAAAATCTCTCACATTTGATCAGTTCCCCGCGAAGGCCTGGCTGACCCCCATTTGTCGCTGTTTTACGACGATCGGCGCCGTTCTCTTTCTCCAGAGACGAGGATAACAGGGAGCTCCAATTATTGAGAAAATAAAGAGTTGGCGCCTGAAAGGAGCTGTCTTAAATCGCAAATCGATACGCAAAAATCGACCTCGAATCAGCCACGCCGTTTCACACCCAAGTCCGAGATTTTTGATTGAGTGGCCACCCGTCCTCAGATCCCCACAGCTTCAAAATTGCCTTCATCATCTTTGAAGTATCTGCACAGGCTGTTTCACACAGTACTTCAAATCTGCGACCGAGAAAAAAAAAGAAAGCAGTATTGTCTCTATGCACTCATTATGAGGAGAGCTTGCTATGAGTAAAACAATAGTATCATTGCACGGGCCCTTGAAAGTCTAATCGAATCCCTTTCTGGTCCAAACGAGCAGTCTGCTTTGAATATCAGCGAGGGATTATCGCTCCTTTTAGCTGGCGCGTGTCAGCAACATACTCCAGATTACATTCAATTCCCTTCGCAAATTGAAGGCGAAAATGCCGCATTTCTGCGAGCCTGAATAGCTATATATAGGGACAGAATAGGGAATTTGATAATGTGGCTAAGCTATCATCATCATCTTGAGGAATCACTCAAAATGCCGTGTCGCGATTGTTCAGCTCCCGCGCAGAAATCTTCCAGACCTAGCACCGACAACAACAATCTCTCTGGGCGCGGTCATCGGTTGATTTCAACTATGCTACCCGAAGGATTTGCTTTATTGTCCAGTTCGTGTTGCTGGCTACCAGTATGCTCCATGCAAACTTGTACGGGCTTTCCCTGTATTCTGACTATTGGCAGACTATACTTGACTTCATTTTTGCTGGTTCTATCACCGCAGTTGGCATGCAAAAGCTTCGATTTTTCTTTTTGGCCATTTCTGTCTTGACTCTGTCCGCCAGCATCGCGCGCGAAGGCTTCAACCGTGGTAATATTCGGCGCGCAATCATTTGTGCTAGTCTACTGGTCTGGACGCAGTATAGTCAGCGGGTTCAGGGTCATCATAGTTGTCACTGACTTCTACTGTCTTCCTGTTTAGAGACAGCTATCTTGCCGGGATGTCTGAATGAATGTTCTAGTATGGGAAGGGGATGATCTCATCTATCAGTAAGTCAAGGAGGTGATTCTAGCTTAGGTATCTTATGGTAGTCCGGAGATCGATACCTGGTACTATGGATACTAGTTTATTATAGGTTATTGCAACTGGTTTGGACGTAATTCTTTCCTTTACTACTTTCTAGGAATCTGAGTTCTGAGGCTGAAATAGGTCCTTGTCACCGGCAAGAGTTATAGGACTGCAGCAAAGTAGGTCGAAAACAGCGGGAGTGAACGGCATTTCTTGCGATGGCCTTTTCATGCTGCCAGGTCAAAGGACCGTAAATCTGTTGAAGGTGCCGTGCTAGAATTTGAGATTCAGCGCGCAAATGGCGCATCGCACTCAGCAGTGGTCATTTGGACGCAAAGTCTGGCTGTGCCAAGTAATCAATTCTTGCGGCATTATCGCGTTTCCTGAATCTTCTTGTGACATACATAACTTGTAATTTTGAAATCAGCCTGGACAACGGATATATAAAAGCTAGGCCTTGCACAGAGGGCTGTCCTCAAATATACATTCGGCACATACTTGACTCTACAATCATGGCTTACTGAGCAGCGTCTGCCACCTGAATCGAGGTTTAGCACCATCTTGGTGAACAACCTCCATTGTCCCTCATGTGCTTCTACAGTGAACGATACCCTATTTACTCTCAGTCCACCCCCTTTCTCCGTGTCGGTATCCACAGTCCTGCACGAGATCAAGGTTGCGCATCCCATTGATCTGAGTGCCTCACAAATCGTGCATGCCCTAGAAGATGCCGCCTTCGAGATCGACAGCATCATCGAATCTGGTGATTCCAGAAACGGTAGTCCTGAAAGCGAGAGTCTTCGAACGTGGCGCTCAGCCCGTCCATCAGTCGTCAGGCGCGCCCCTGACCCGGATCCTCACCATGAGTCAGAACAGCATATCCGGCAATGTGATGCATGCTCTGCACAGCTAGCAATGCAGACATCCAGCACTGGTGACGATCTGACAGTTATTCAAAAGAACCTCAGCCCCCGGGTCGTCGAGTCGGGCAGCCCCAGAGATGACGACCTCGTATCTGTCGTCGACGACCATCTGACGGGCACCCGCACTCGCATCACACTATCAATCAGTGGAATGTCTTGCAGTTCATGCGTCGGGAAGATTACCAATGCTTTGAACGACCAACCATGGGTGCAGTCGGCCGATGTTAATCTACTGACTAGTAGCGCGGTGGTCGTTCTCCTGGACCGGTCGCGTGTGAACGAAGCGCGAGAGACAATTACAGGCTCGGGTTATTCCGCCCAGCTGATTGATTGTGAAGATCTCCTGCCCAAGAGGCAATCGAAACAGTCGACGTCGGCCGACATATGGCGAGCCTCCTATGTTATCGGGGGCATGACCTGCAGCTCCTGCGTCGGGACAGTTACAGACACGCTCAACCGTTACGAATGGGTCACAAAACTGGACGTGAACCTTGTGTCAGGGAGTGCGACGGTAGAACTGCAAGGAAAGGAGCATCTGGAAGAGGTCATCGCCATTATCAGCGAATTGGGTTACGCCGCTACACTCGGCGAGGTCGAGAGTAGCACCCCATCCGAGCAACGAGCCTTGAACCGGTCCGTCACTATCCAGGTGGACGGGATGCATTGCTCAAACTGCCCCCAGCGGATTCTAGATGCTCTCAGCGTGTTTTCCAGTTGTCTCCAGGTGACGGACCCTCTTCGAAAGGGACACCCGCGGCTCACTATAGCATATACCCCGGACAGCCCCAATTTCACCATTCGGCATATCTTACATGCGATCGCCCAGGTGGATAAGGCCTTCACAGTATCTATTTACCATTCCCCCAGTCTCGAGGAGCGCTCCCAAATGATGCAACGTCGACACATGTGGCGCATCGCTCGCCGCCTGCTATTGGCGGTGTTGACTGCTATCCCAGCGTTTATTATCGGGATCGTCTATATGTCTTTGGTACCTGGAGACAATTCAGGGGTCATGTACCTCGAGCAGCCCATCTNATCAAATGTCCTTGCAGTAGTAGGAAGCAAAGGGAGACGATTATACTCCTGGAAGGCTCAAGGAAATTCCATGCGGTGTTTTCGCGGATTTTAGCGCTCCTCGGCAAAGTTTGAAATATGGAGACCAGCCATCCAATTGATAGTGGTGGTCCCTCGAGCTCTTTTATCGATCACTCAAAAGGCCATGAAGGTACGGAGTAGTACGGGAGTTTTTGCGAAGACATGAGATTCTATCACGCGGTTTCAAGTTCCTTCGCAGGATATATATTCGAGACGGTATGAAAGGCTTCCATGTGTTTTGAAGTCTCTCGGCCGGTATAACAGTAGCTGTCCATTCGGCTGGCGACAAAAATCCGACGATTTGTTATCATTAGTGACGAAAGTGTGGAAATATGACTTTCACTGTTTGACTTCGTGCTGCAGCAAAGCAGCAATATGACCTTTTCTCCTTCCAAAGAAAGTAGGGAAATGAAAGGGCGCTGAGAAGAAAAGGCAAGTAAACCTGGCCAGGATTGCCTACCTATGAGCCTGCCTCTTTTTTACCCCACGTCCACTTCCTTCCCAAGCCTTCATAGACTCTTATCAAAAGCCTTGAGTAAGTCATCCTTGTTGTGAAGCGAGGACCTTGGTGGACGATAGATATTTAATAGAGGATGAAAGACAGCCATTGCAAAGTTTGCTATCACCAACTCTTTCTAGTGCACTGTTGCAAACAAATCCGATTTTAGTGCGCGTATCACTTTGCAGGATTTTCTTTCAAGTCTTTCGATCCCGTTTTTGCCCGTGTTAGAACTCAATCCTCAATACATTGCTTATCAGGATGGACACGGAACTGTTACGCTATCTTCAACGAGATACTGGCGACAATACTGATACCTGTGAAACTGGAAACGAGTATGACGGTCGGCTGGGCCTCCGTGTTTCATCCATTTTCGTCATCATGGCTAGCTCGATGACAGCGGCAGTTTTCCCTATGCTAGTGAAACGTTCAAGCACAGTCAGCGCTAAGTGTGAGCGAATCGCACACTGGGCTTTTTTTATAGCCAAATTTTTGGCTCTGGTGTCATCATTGCAACTGCATTTATTCATTTGCTTGCTCCAGCGGAAGAGGCCCTAAGGGATGACTGCTTGGCTGGTCCGATCTCGGAGTATCCTTGGGTGGAGGGCATCATTCTCATGACCATCGTTGCTATGTTCTTGGTGGAACTCATGATTATGCGCCATTCATATTTCGGCATGAGTCAACAGAGCGATATCGTCGATAACGGAGGTCGGTGCCTTGGCGGGTTTGATAATTTTGGTGGTTGGAATCAGGCTAAGCGTCACCTGCCGATGGACGATAATTTGAGCCGGCCTCAGGAACGCGAAGACGCAGAGGTGGCTCGAGGCAACTTCGCGTTCGTGGATGACTCTGCAGCCTAGCTTATCGGGGTTTCCATTTTGGAATTTGGAATCATCTTCTATTCCATATTCATAGGCCTGACACTCGCAGTTGCGGGTTCTGAATTCACCGCGCTCTATATCGTTCTCACCTTCCACCAGACATTTGAGGGACTAGGTCTGGGATCTCGCCTCGCCGTGATTCCATGGCCGACTTCCAGGCGCTGGACGCCTTATGTTCTGGGTATTGTCTATGGTCTAACTACCCCCATTGCCATCGCAGTTGGCTTGGCAGTGCGCAATACCTACCCACCTAGTGGTCGGACGACACTGATAGTCAATGGTGTTTTTGATGCTATCTCGGCAGGCATTCTTATTTATACTGGCCTTATCGAATTAATTGCGCGCGAGTTCCTGTTCAACTCGTTTATGCGTCGGGCTCCTCTTCGCACTGTTTGGTCGGCATCTTCTGATCTGCCTTGGCGCAGGACTCATGGCACTGCTCGGCAGATGGGCTTAACTATGTATATTTTAGATTACTGCGGGCTGAGTGCTTTGGCGTTAAGCCAATGAGAGGAAACAAGAGAGGCAAGAATTGAGAGTTGAAAACCGACGAATGTAGCTGACCTTCAAGTTTTTTTTTTCTTTTTTTTTTGTTTCCCAACTTATGCAGTCTTTTCCATTCGTTCAGTTCCTCAAGACTGCGGAGCGTGTGCTTTTCAAGCCCATCCCCAATGCGATGTTTTCGCGGGTTTTAGCGATTTGGCAAATGCTTGGCCAGTCAGTCTTCGCCGCCGAGACATCAATAGTGCAGCCAAGGAACTCAAAAGAACGCGAAAATCTCTCACATTTGATCAGTTCCCCGCGAAGGCCTGGCTGACCCCCATTTGTCGCTGTTTTACGACGATCGGCGCCGTTCTCTTTCTCCAGAGACGAGGATAACAGGGAGCTCCAATTATTGAGAAAATAAAGAGTTGGCGCCTGAAAGGAGCTGTCTTAAATCGCAAATCGATACGCAAAAATCGACCTCGAATCAGCCACGCCGTTTCACACCCAAGTCCGAGATTTTTGATTGAGTGGCCACCCGTCCTCAGATCCCCACAGCTTCAAAATTGCCTTCATCATCTTTGAAGTATCTGCACAGGCTGTTTCACACAGTACTTCAAATCTGCGACCGAGAAAAAAAAAGAAAGCAGTATTGTCTCTATGCACTCATTATGAGGAGAGCTTGCTATGAGTAAAACAATAGTATCATTGCACGGGCCCTTGAAAGTCTAATCGAATCCCTTTCTGGTCCAAACGAGCAGTCTGCTTTGAATATCAGCGAGGGATTATCGCTCCTTTTAGCTGGCGCGTGTCAGCAACATACTCCAGATTACATTCAATTCCCTTCGCAAATTGAAGGCGAAAATGCCGCATTTCTGCGAGCCTGAATAGCTATATATAGGGACAGAATAGGGAATTTGATAATGTGGCTAAGCTATCATCATCATCTTGAGGAATCACTCAAAATGCCGTGTCGCGATTGTTCAGCTCCCGCGCAGAAATCTTCCAGACCTAGCACCGACAACAACAATCTCTCTGGGCGCGGTCATCGGTTGATTTCAACTATGCTACCCGAAGGATTTGCTTTATTGTCCAGTTCGTGTTGCTGGCTACCAGTATGCTCCATGCAAACTTGTACGGGCTTTCCCTGTATTCTGACTATTGGCAGACTATACTTGACTTCATTTTTGCTGGTTCTATCACCGCAGTTGGCATGCAAAAGCTTCGATTTTTCTTTTTGGCCATTTCTGTCTTGACTCTGTCCGCCAGCATCGCGCGCGAAGGCTTCAACCGTGGTAATATTCGGCGCGCAATCATTTGTGCTAGTCTACTGGTCTGGACGCAGTATAGTCAGCGGGTTCAGGGTCATCATAGTTGTCACTGACTTCTACTGTCTTCCTGTTTAGAGACAGCTATCTTGCCGGGATGTCTGAATGAATGTTCTAGTATGGGAAGGGGATGATCTCATCTATCAGTAAGTCAAGGAGGTGATTCTAGCTTAGGTATCTTATGGTAGTCCGGAGATCGATACCTGGTACTATGGATACTAGTTTATTATAGGTTATTGCAACTGGTTTGGACGTAATTCTTTCCTTTACTACTTTCTAGGAATCTGAGTTCTGAGGCTGAAATAGGTCCTTGTCACCGGCAAGAGTTATAGGACTGCAGCAAAGTAGGTCGAAAACAGCGGGAGTGAACGGCATTTCTTGCGATGGCCTTTTCATGCTGCCAGGTCAAAGGACCGTAAATCTGTTGAAGGTGCCGTGCTAGAATTTGAGATTCAGCGCGCAAATGGCGCATCGCACTCAGCAGTGGTCATTTGGACGCAAAGTCTGGCTGTGCCAAGTAATCAATTCTTGCGGCATTATCGCGTTTCCTGAATCTTCTTGTGACATACATAACTTGTAATTTTGAAATCAGCCTGGACAACGGATATATAAAAGCTAGGCCTTGCACAGAGGGCTGTCCTCAAATATACATTCGGCACATACTTGACTCTACAATCATGGCTTACTGAGCAGCGTCTGCCACCTGAATCGAGGTTTAGCACCATCTTGGTGAACAACCTCCATTGTCCCTCATGTGCTTCTACAGTGAACGATACCCTATTTACTCTCAGTCCACCCCCTTTCTCCGTGTCGGTATCCACAGTCCTGCACGAGATCAAGGTTGCGCATCCCATTGATCTGAGTGCCTCACAAATCGTGCATGCCCTAGAAGATGCCGCCTTCGAGATCGACAGCATCATCGAATCTGGTGATTCCAGAAACGGTAGTCCTGAAAGCGAGAGTCTTCGAACGTGGCGCTCAGCCCGTCCATCAGTCGTCAGGCGCGCCCCTGACCCGGATCCTCACCATGAGTCAGAACAGCATATCCGGCAATGTGATGCATGCTCTGCACAGCTAGCAATGCAGACATCCAGCACTGGTGACGATCTGACAGTTATTCAAAAGAACCTCAGCCCCCGGGTCGTCGAGTCGGGCAGCCCCAGAGATGACGACCTCGTATCTGTCGTCGACGACCATCTGACGGGCACCCGCACTCGCATCACACTATCAATCAGTGGAATGTCTTGCAGTTCATGCGTCGGGAAGATTACCAATGCTTTGAACGACCAACCATGGGTGCAGTCGGCCGATGTTAATCTACTGACTAGNACTTACTAGGGCCGTGACTCTCACTAGGGCCATGACACTTACTAGAGTCGTGACGCTCTCTAGGGCCGTGACTCTCACTAGGGCCATGACACTTACTAGAGTCGTGACGCTTACTAGGGCCGTGACTCTCACTAGGGTCGTGACACTTACTAGGGTCGTGATGCTCTCTAGGGCCGTGACTCTCACTAGGGCCATGGCACTTACTAGGGTCGTGACGCTCTCTAGGGCCATGACACTTACTAGGGCCGTGACACTTACTAGGGTCGTGGCGCTCACTAGTTGTAATTCCAGTTAGTGAAGACGACCTGCTACGCCGAGCGGAGGATGGGAGCCCTGTGGTAGAGGGAGCGGCTGCTGTGGACCATTCGACTTTAGGGGCGCCTCGAGATACCGATATGTTAAGCATACCGGAAGAGGGAGCAGGTGCAGTGGACGTGGACGTGGATATGGACTTATCGGCGCAGAACCAATCAGTGCAAGATCGCCTTGGAACGCCAACTATATTATCCCGCCATTCAAGCATTACGCCGCCGACCTCGCGAAGAAAGAGTAGGGATGCAACATGGAGACCATATAATGTTACAGAGAAAGGCAACCGCAAAGCGACCAAACGATCACTTGCCCCTCAAGGCCATTCGATCACGCAGGGCGACATGAACGACTCGGACCCAAGCGCTGAGCAACGACCTGGGCTGGGTTCGTTGCAATCAATCGCAGAGCACACGGAGCAGGAAATACCTCGGCCACTCAACGAGCCGGAATGCCCCGAACATATTTCTGGCGGACTGCCAGTTGAGGCTCAGGAAGGACTAGCAGGAGAGCAAATGGCGGATGGAACGGAGCTCATCACGGAAGCGGGTGAAGAACTCCAAGAAGATCGAGTAGCCCGGCAGCGCGCAGATGCTCTTACTCAGCTACAAACACCTGGAATCATGGAGGATCATGCCCCCCGGCCTGTGACTGAGCTTCCCGCCGACTTGCCAAGTCTGATTACAAGATTACGGGAAGAGGGAAGCCAGCTGGGAGATGAAAGTATAATCCCCGACAAAAATCAAACGCAGGAGCTTCCTGAATTGGAGCTGGCCACTGTTGATCATCTGGACCGACACAGAGCGGATCTACCTGATCCAGAACAGGCTCAGCGGCAGGCAATTGAAAGGCAGGAGGGCGAGGATCTATTATTCGATGTTCCTGTGCTGGAAGAGCCAACAGACCAGGCAGTGGTAGAGGACTCGGGAAGACCAACCCCGGAAGTTCCCGCTCTTCCCCCTGGAAGCATGCATGAGGGTCTTTCTAGTGATGTGCAACCAGAGCGGAGGGTCACAGTCACATTTTACGTTTACGAGCGACAGGCATGGAAAAAGATGGATATGGTCTCTGTGAGCCCTACTCAACTCGCTGAGGCGCAGATTATCGCCGACCGATATGCACGAGATCCCAGCCAATATGCGCGCTTTTACGATGGTCGACTACGCAAAGTTGCCGTTGGTGAGTGCGTTCGCGCAGCGATTGACGACGGTAGTTTTACCGTCCTTATGAGTTTTGGAAAGGATCTGATAGTGACTCGGCATCTTGCCGCGTCTGTCGCAGAAATATTCAAGTCTGCTGGGAATGAATGGCATGATCCTTATCACCCTGAAAAACGGTTAAAATCAAACGCCGGAGCCCCGTCGGCTGGTCCCGTTCAAGCGCGAAAGGATGCAATTGCAGGAAAGCCAGAGCGACGTGGAAGAAAAATACCGGCGCGAATAGCCACCCGACCGCGCCAGGATGTGCGGCCCAATCGGGCGGAGGCAGATTCTCAGCCTGTTACCGTCGTTTTTTGCGCCCAAGAAAATAACGGACATTGGAAGACGGTGCATGAGGTCCTTGTCGACCGGATCGACCCATCGCAGGTGGAACGAGTGGCGAGGAAAGAGGCGAGAAACCGTCAGGCCACATTCTATGATAAGAACCTGCGAAAACTCACTCCGGCGCAGTGTTTTGAGGCGGCAATTGAGGATGACACAAATAAAATCTTTATGAATTTCGGGGGAGAGCTTGCGGTGGACGAAGAGACAATAGAGTCGATCGCACGCGAAGTGGAATTGTGACGCGAAGGAACTGGAAGACTCAGTAAACAACCCTATCCTGAGATATACTTGTTTCTAGGATGTACTTGTTCCTGGGATATCCATGCCTCTTTGATCTTGTCTCCGAGACTCGATTGTTGGCCTTCTGAGGCTGAAGGCCTGTCTGACGGGTGCTGAAGCGCTGAAGTGGGGCGTCAGATGCCATCTAGAGATGCGTGATGAAATCAGCGCCGCGCTGAAGGCGCTGTGATAAGCACTCAAAGTGCTGTTCCTCCAACGGAAATGATGACCGTACCAGAAAACAGAACAAAAAGCCACAGAGCTGGGTTCCACACTTAATTTATGGAAGAGGATGGGTACAATATTATTCTAGCTATGTTATATATTTGCCCTTTGTGTATTAGGTTGGTCACTTGACAATTGGTCATAGGTGAATGCTTGGCGTTCTAGATTGTACGCAAGCAAATAGGATCCTTAGCGGTGTGGCAAGGGCAGGCTAAATCATAACTTAACCCCAATTTAACTTGCTCAACAGCTCATTCTTTCCTCCCCTCAACATGTCACAAGTCTCTTCGTACTTTTGCGCCCTGTTCAAAATCTATTTTTAGAAGTATAACACACCATTGTTTTCGCGTTTGTTTAACATACGTACTACCAATGCTCATTGACGGAAAGAAGTGGGCTTGTGAGGCCTGTATCCGTGGCCACCGTGCTGCCAGTTGTTCCCATTCAGGTCTGTCAGTACTTAGATACTGATCTAGTGCCTTGCTAATTAATCCCCCTAGAGCGGCCTTTGACCTTTATTAATAAAAAAGGACGACCAGTTTCTCAGTGCCTTCACTGTCGTAGTCTACGCAAATCACGATCAGCACATGTCAAGTGTGGATGTGGCAATACTAACAGAGCAAAGAATGACTCCGAAACTCGTGAGTCTATTAATATTTACTATGCATGGCTACCTTCTTATTAACTATGAGTTATAGAAGATTCCTATCCACAATGTAATTGTGCTCGTGGGGAGCGTTGTGTCTGTGCGCTTAAGAAAGACCCGTTCCCCGATCTCGTTCCGAAGCCATCTTGGCCGCATTCTCCAGTCCATGAAGAAAGAAGGATCACGTTAGCTCAGCCAGAGAGCGCCCTAGCTGCCCTCCACGAAGATTATTCTAGGTATCCTACACGATTCAATCCGATACAGATAAGCCCGTCAGAAAGTGCACCTGAATTTCAAATCTCGGATCAGCACACCAGGCTCCAGTCCAACTCAGCTGAAGACAGCCTCCCCGCAAACTCAGTTATATCACCTGCTGACCTCCCATCCTTCACCGACCTCTCTTCCACCATGGCACCTGATTACTCAGCACCAACAGCTTTTGATAACTTCTCGGTCCAACAAACCATGGCGGAGAATCTTGATCTGGATATGTCTTCTTTTCCTGCTGTTGACTTTCCAATAATAACTGCCTCAGCTGGATCCATAAATGACATAAACTCCGAGAACCTCTATGGAGAGGATATGTCCACTTCTACTTATACACAGTCTACATCAGGCCTCACAGGAGCAGACTCCTATGCTGCTGATTGGGAGGGGTTATATCCAGATTTATTTGGTATCAACAATGCTCAGCTTCTTGACTACATGCCGCACGACTTCGCCCCTTATGATTTACGCTTTCCCGCACTATTATTACCAAATGGTACTGGAGATGTGGAGAAAACTCGAAGCATCTTCAAACCACGGTAATGAAGGAATTAGTCAACCATACGCATGTCAAAATACATGATCCCTCCCCGTCTGCTGCACAATCCTAGCTGCATCCTCGAAACAGAAGATCTTCCTTTCAACGGTCAGGAGTGCAGTTACTCCGAGATACTTGTAAGAAAGATCATGAGAACTGGCAAGCACTCCAGATACCACCTGTTGTATGCGGTAGCTTGCCGCGAAGAAGATAGTTAGTCCTAGAGCGTGAGAATATATGAAGCCTACACTCTGTATAGCGTGCTCTTGTTCTGTGATTAAGTAGTCATCATGACCGAGTTCAAGTTTAGATAATTCTTCGGGTCTTGTATCATTCACCTGACGCTGAATGGCAAAAACAGCTTTTGTTCCTTTTTTTCTAATCCTGGTCAACAGCATGATATTCCACAATCATCCCCTTACTACGATGATTGAGCACTTGACAATGGTGGACCCACACTCCTGGGTTATCAACAGTCATTGTTAAGGATCTTGTCTGTGCTGGCAAAACAGATAACTAAATCCAAGCAAGTCAGGATCGAGTTCCCTGGAATTCAAGACAACAACTTACAACATCAAGCCTCTGCCCTGCCCATGTAAGGGTGTTGCCATGCCAGTGCGGTGTATGGGAATTTTGGACGTTTCCCAATGATTGCTAAAAATTGTCAACTCTGCAAATGTGGTACTTGAGCTGCAACTCACCACATGCCAACGGGCCTCTCGACCAACAGTAAGATTTAAGCCTTCAAGATTTCCGAATAATCGACCATTGATCGCATGCTTCAAATTGCTTTCTTGAAAGCCAGGGTCCAAGCGATTCACCTGAAGCTCGCCCCGCGGTATATTAGTTCTGTTCAAGGTATTCCCATCAATGTAGAACGACAGATTCTCATCCACTATCATAAAGAGAGTTAGGACCTCCTCGGTCGGGTCCGAACCTCTGGGCGCTGGACCGTCGAGAGTATGCTTGGCAAGCTCTCCGGGCCTGTAGACTATTATAGCTCCGACCAAACCACTATAAATATCCTGTGCACCGGAGACGTCGGAGTGATATGTCCAGGCCAAGGATGGCGGATCTAAAGGCCCCGGGCCAGCGCGTTCTTGCGCATTTATGTCAGCTTGTGACCGCAAAGCTATGAAAGGTCGTGTCTACCTGGGACCTCCCACGTGTATGTCCACGTTTCACCTGGTGGGACTGAGTTGCCACCGAATTCTTGCCCTGCCATCGCTATCCCTTCGTTGGGCTTACTGTAACGGAGTCCATGTGGATGCATAGAATGATTGTTTGAAGCCATGTTTTTGAAGGTGACTTCGACTGTCGCCGACCTCAGCCCGAATAACGGGCCCGAGCATGCCTAGCCACTAGGACTGGTCAGTTTACAGGCAACTCAATGGGAAAGTCCACAAAAGAGCTAATCGTACCTGTGGTCGCCTTGCCTGCACAGCAAAGGTGTCATCTGTAAACTCCCGAAACATAGCTTTGGTGTACACATGTCCAATGCGCTGACCGTTGTGCTCGGCCACGGTTGCTGCTTGTGGAGACTGGTCTATCTCGACTCCATTGATGAGGTCGATACCGCAAATGGATATGATATTAATACGAGACTCTAGTTAATCACAGAAGGACTCACGTAGGCATATAATCCCAATCCTCCTCCACTGCCCCGACGTAGTACGTTCGAATTGTACCATTGAGGGCGGCGGAGAAAGTAAACTGCAGCATGAAGAAGCTGCTGATAGCAAGCCCCCAAGGAACAGGAAATAACATATTGAAGGCTGGGAAGAAAAGGCTTGTCCTTGCTAAAGTAATCTGAATGTAAACAGCTAGTGAAGAATTCTCGAGTACTATATGTGTGAACTCTTAGAGCAATCGTCTGGCTCTTTATATCTTTACTAGAAGAGCCCCTACTCATGCAAGCAAAACAGATAATAACAACGATTTGTTGATGTAAATACCAGGTCATGCAGCTCACATTCCTGTTGCTTGCAGGCACATACTCAACCCAACTCGGAAGCCCTGGCATATGGTTGAGTCTTCCTGAATCCACTTGGCAAAGGCCGTTCCCAAAGCATCCTCGGGCGATTTGGATCAAGCATTCCTGCATTGTCCATGGCATTTGAATCTTTTGTGAAACCAAGTTGATTCTTCCGCGCGGGAAGAATATTGAGAGACTCTAAAGCAAACACATCCCACCAATCACAATACCCGGATGGGCGGATGAGGGCAACAAATACTCGGTGAATCAAGTTCTCGCAAGGAGGGGCGGCGAGGAAAGCTGTGGGCCTGTGGGGCGCTAAACTACGCGAAAAGATCTCAGACCTGCAGTGCCTTTAATTAACAATAATGGATGGTATAAACTTTATTTCTTCAAAGTAAGAAAGAATGCTTGAGCTGTCCATGTTTGGCATTTGGTGGCGCGGCTGTTCTCCCATATTAATGACGTTTAGACCTTGCTCTTCGTCAAATCAAACCCACTTTCATGACCACAGCCTGCCTAATGTCATGACGTCTATTTTCGATGACTTATTTGTCCTTTTACCCTGCTTACAGACAGTTATAAAGGCTCCCAAGGTCCCCAGACCTGTTGCGAGTAGATCAATCAAATTTATCCGACATCATTCAATATATTCAGCGACCACTACCTATTATTCTGCGAATATGGCCTGCAACTGCGGATCCACCTGTTCCTGTACTGGACCCCAGAGCTGCACTTGCTCCACAAAGGATTGCACTTGCAGTGCATGCGGTGTAAGTTTTGAGCATTTCACATATACCCATCTGCGTATGGATGGACTAACTCTTCCTCCAGAAATAACTGGCCTGCTACACCAGTTTAGTGCTTTTGAGGGGAAGAACGGTATTGATCGACAATTTTCAGGGAAGAAATGTCAAGTCATTTTGCCGTAAGGTTCAGCAGCGATGAAGCGAAACCACCGAACATTGCTCCTGTGGCAAATTGCCTTGGAAAGAGTCGAATTCCACTCTTTACAGGATTTCAGATAATAGGAGATAACCCCAGTTTTGTTAATAAAGCCGCTGCAGTGCGACTATCATATATACCTGTAAACATGCGCTGCCCGTAGAGAATACTTGACTTCTACTATTAACGTGGATAAAAGCAAATCTGGCAAGAAAAAAAGACACGGAGACGCAACCAGCTGCTCGCTATGGAAACGCGACCAGCGCATTCAGCATAGTGCCAAGAGCGATCAAACTTCTAGAAAAGTTGAAAATATACGACGGTGCGGTACCGGATTTCAATGGCGTGGTTGGATCCGGGCTATTACCTTGCCGAATTAGGGCATCGAGCTGATCTTCGCCCTCGACTAAGACCACCGCCATTCCAGACTGTATAACCAACCGTAAGCGTTTGTCCGCCAATGGCGAGAGTAAAGAAGGGGAGTCGACAGACCACAATATGCCACTGGATATGGCAATGAAGTATCCATGCGCCCGGGTTATCAGTGATATAGCTATTGCATGATTAGCTACTCGGCTTGAGAATTTTGCTTGCGGGATGGGTCAAAACTCACCGAATTGCCAGCCATCCCGATGGTGGCAAATTCGCCGTATCCCTGTACGGAGGGTTGTCGAGGTTAATCAGGGACGGCGGCGCTTCTGCAACCGACTGGTAAGGGAATGAGCCACTGCCAGAACCTAGAACCCAGAATTTATGGCCATGAAGGTGCATTGGATGGCCCATCTAATACATGTCAGTGACTGTACGTGCGCGGCAAAAAGTAGCGTAGGGGGTCACACTGTATCCAACGAGCCATTTGCCACATTCATCACGATATCGACTGTCGAATTCGTCGGTGAATGGAGGGTGGTGTTCGCATTCCATCCATCTGACATGTTACCGTAGATTATTGGAATCGTTGGTTCGGCATACGGATACTGGTCCACAACCCAGGTGACAATGTCGGTCTGATTGATATTGAAGAATCGGGTGACATCGGCAGCTGTAGTGGGAGGTCTATTACCCTCAAACGGTGCCAGGCGTGATTCTACCAGTTCATTGGCACCTTGTGTAGCGGATCCGTTAGTCAACATCCAAACAGACATCGGATCAACAGAGATATCCTGTGTATCGTTTCCGGTGGTCTATGCAGTGTGTTAATAGCAGCGATGTTGGATTAGAAACTTTGAATTCACTGACATCATAGGACACTATTGCCTGGCCTTCCAAGACCTGCTGCATGTCACCGTTTGGATAAGTAGCGAATCGAAGGTAGTAGTTGCCAGGAGACTGGTCAAGCTCTATCATCACAGAGTATCGTTGGCCGAGGGCGATTTCAAGAACCTGTCCACGTTAGAGGAAGGTAGTTTGATAACCATGGAAAGAGGAGATCTTACCTTAACCTCCTGCGGGGTCACATAGAGTCCGTC